CTTAAAGTATAGTTTATAAACATTTATATTCAGGGTAAACTTAAAAAACGCTACTTACGGTATGTTTTCAGTAAATAAACACCGAAATCACCAGCCCAAACAATAACACACACGATTGTCGTGACGTATTTTTGAAGTTGTTTATTTTTTTAAATGACAGACCCAGGCATTAAAAACTTTATGGTTTGCTAGAGTAGTTACCGAAATAGCAATTAATATTACTTCTTTTACCTGTTATCCTTATCCTTTTACTTCGATATCCGATAAATCGGTATAAAATCATCATCGGCACCTCTAGGTGTGGTATGCGTCTACGGCTGCATGTATCGCGTGAGCGGATACTATTGCATATAGCATCAGTAGAGCTTCTTTTGAAAGAGTTCGTCTAGGGAAGTAGTGTCACCGTTCCTATTTCTGAAGCTAAACTGTAATGTGAGCATTACTGCGTTCCGGTTTGGAAGCGTAAGAGCGGTTACACACAGCGATGCAAACGCGATGCTGTAGCGATGCAGTCGGTAATTGTCTACCTTCATGCAAACGCGCGACTGTATCGATTGGATCGCTACACTTGTGATATATAAGCGTTTGTTCAGCAGCGACGCAAACGCGCGAAAGTTACCGTGTGTAACCACTCTAAGGTGCTAGTGAAATTACAGACAGGTGGGACTTGACAATTTATGTCTCAGGGTTACGGACGCAGTGGCTGTGCCCCTCAGATCTACGCGATTTAAAGCTCTGAGTGGTACTGCAACTGTTATGGACAGACGTGTCGCTTGCCACCAAGCGCACGAATTGTTCGTTCCGTCACTTGGTGTCATAAAAAAAATAATTATAATGATATGTAAATAAAGAGTTTTGAATATAAGTTCGATTTACTTAAATAATTTTTACAATAATAATCGTAATGTCTTTTTTCAAATCAAGCATCAATCTGACCAAATTGCAGCAGTAAACTTCTAATTTCTCCCAAATTGGTTAGACGTAGACCTCAACTCATGTCAATTTCTCGATTTCTTACTCAGTCCTGTCTTCTGTATGTGGTATAAATAAGTATTTGTAATGTATATAGCGATACCTCCAATGAACATTACGCAAAATTTATTTTTTGGTCATTTTTGTAGACAGCCATTATTTATTAATATTATGCTCCCCGAATTTTAGATGAAAATTAATAAAGAAACAAATAACAAAATTCGAAAAAAGAACGAGTTTAGTGAAAAAAATAAAGAAACAAAAAACAAAATATAAATAGAAGAGGTCCAGAAATAACTTGCCGTTGTTTTCATAGGAGGTATTGATGGAATTGTTGTTCGATGTAAACAACGTTGCAAATAGTCACAATAATGTATTTTCCCAAGCACCAATATAACCAATACGCAGCAATGTGCGCCAAACCTCCAAATTATTTAGACATTTAGCTCAGTCATGTCAAGGGCACCCTTCCTTACCAGGGCCTTAACCTTTCCCTCGGGACTTTCAAGGTCGCTCCAACTCCTTTGACTTTTACCGTCCGGTTTCCAAAGGTACCCGAAATACTTTCAAAGTATTTACAACCTTAGCAACGAAGCTTTTGAGACCTTCTTTGCTTACTTTTCTTTGCTCTGTTTGTGTATTTTATGAATCGGTTTGTAGTGTTACAGTCGAGAACAAAAGTGTTTGTATTAAAGTAAATTTACACACGGTTTTTGCAGACGTCACGTGTTTTTAACACTATATAGTTCAGATGAATGAATAAAGTGATGAAAATTTCAAAAACTTTTGAAGAAATTTTAAGATGGATCTGTTTTGTGTATCTTAAGACATACCTTTAAAGAGCTAATGAAAAAAAAATTCTGTCACATTTATAGCCTTATTGTGTTATTATTTCGATTGTGTATAAGGAAAAAATTGGCACATCTTTGTTTAATTATTTCTTAGCGCTACTTTGTGGGATGTATATGGATCGATGATGAGACATGATGAACTGTTAAATCAGGGCTCAGTTTAATGGCATTTGATTTCTTAGTTTAGTTAATGTTTTGTTTCTTCGATTTATAAAACCTATAGATCAGTGTTGCCAGATGGTTACGTTTCTCACATTTTTCGTTGAGATCTTTTAAATATAACTACATTTTGTTATTGTAAATCTTAAATAGTTTACGAACGCATATTCGCAACTCAGAGACGGCGCAAAAAAAAATTATAATCGATCAATTACTTTTTTATTTTTTATTTTTAGGATTTAGGCGTATATATTATATTTCATAGTTACAATTTTCAATAAAAAAACGAACTTGTAAAATGTAAACTTTGCAGCAAAAATTTAACTATTTACCTTTCCAGGTAACGAAATGTAATTTTGGACTCAAGGCAACTCTGCTATAGACGTTGTCCATCGTTGTAAGTTTATGTAAAAGTGAATATAAAAGGTAAGTGTGAATGGACGTTCTTGCACGCAGAAGCTAAACGAACGACGAACGAATGTGCGACGAATACGATTGTATAAACGCGGTATTAGAATTGAAAAGAGAAATTCAAAGAGTTGAACTCCTTTTGTTGCCGACTGTATGATACGGTTGTGTACGAAATCGAAAGTATTGTTTTTGCGAACAATAACATGTAACCCGGTTCATTAAGTATGCATGAGGTAATGGAGAACGTAATGTACCTACGCAAGAGCCTGTAAGTAGGATCTTATTTGCATTTAGTTAAGACTGTTTTAAAGAGCAGAGCAATCTCGGCTAAATGGTAGTTTATTATATAAGCTGAATATATAATTACGAATCGAATAGATAAACTAATTGCTTCATACTACCTGCTTTAAACATGTTTTGAACGAACTTTAAGTTTTTCACAGCAATAAAAGCCGATAAAAAACTAAAAAAAATAAAATAAAAAGACTTTATTCTTCATCAGAAAACAAATTTAAGATAAAACAATGCTTAATTCTATGTCGAAGAAACGGGAAAAGCTTCAGCAATTTGCTGGTTTTCAGGCTTCACCTGGCAAGCATTCGCCAGCACCTTAACAAAGTGTTGCCCCTCCGGACGTCGGCAGAGACGTGGCTAGATATTTGCAGCGCTTAAAAGAAGAGACTGACCCGCGGCACCCCTTACTCTGTCACGTGCCGGTATTCCAGAAGCTAAAGAGTTGTCATAGCTTCATTAAAGAAGTATTCCCTCCGGACGGGGAAACTAACCAAGTCCGTATAAATCTCTGGAAGGAAAGATTCCCACGCATCACTCATGCTGCTGTCAGAGCACCTCCCTCCTGGGCATAATCTACCTTGGCTAACTTTGAAGTCTCTAAATACATTGCGAACCCAAGTCGGCCGAAGCAAGGAGAGCATTCACAGGTGGGGTTATACCTCAGAGAGCGTATGTATTTGTGGCGTCTCTCCCCAGATTGGCACATCTTTTGTCCTGTCCTGCGTGCTCCTACAACCTGCACACGCGAGGACCTGTATAACATCTATCGACGTTTATGATCTTTGTATCAATAATAATAACAACTAGTGATGTATTTTCACTGAAAGTATATGAATATTATTGTAGTATAACATGATATTCAATAAACATTTGCATGGCCACTGAAGAGTTTTAAATTACAAATAACTGAGTGGCACTGCCACTTCGCTCGTCACCTTGCTTGACACGTAAGTTGACAAGTCCCTTGTGCCTGTAATTTCACATATAATCCCAATCGTGTTTGATTTCGCAGCTTAAGGCCTAGTTCCCACTATACCGGACCGGTGACTTTGCCCGGAAACCGGCACTCGGACTAGGTATTCACATTAAGCCGGATCTCGCAAGAAAATCGGAGACTAAAGTCTTCACCTTAGTTGATTTCAGACCACTGTGCATTATAGACGACGAAATTATGGTGTTGTGATGTATCTCAGAAGGCTTAATTGGGTATAAAGAAAACATTGGGTACATCCTGTTTTACGGGAAAGATTTATAATGGGCCAACTGAGAAGTGACGAGTCAAAGTTCTCCAATTATTTTCGAATGACAGCATCCTGTTTTGATGATTTATTGGGACTTTCGTCGTCATTCACATTACTTCGGTCCGGGTGTTCTGGCGGTCCGTAGTGACAAACGCTCCGGCAACAATGCCGAGTCCGGCGTAATGTGAATAGCTTCAAATAAATTTTTACAGCCACTAAGCCTTTCCGGCAAACTCGCCGGTCCGGTTTAATTAATAGTGGGAACTTGGCTTAAGGGTTTATTTTTTAAGTCACAAAAAGAAGGAAGCTCTAGTATAAAGCAGTGTTATCTTATTTATAACATTAGTATTAATCTATTACAATCGATAGTAAATTGTATTGAATTTGGTATTACAGTGGTTTGCTCTATGTCATAGTTGATGATACATGAATGATATATGTATAGTTAGTAGCTCTATTTGTGAATTACTACTGATTTAAACGTGCGTGTTGTTAATTTCATTATATTTAATTTTACTTTATGTTTTTGTGTGCGTGTTTTATATATCAGCTTGTTCACAACAGAGCGGGGACAAGCTGAAAGTCAGTACTGTGAATGAGCATATGTGCTACTCAGTGTGTGCTAAGCTTGCTGCCACACAGTAATTGTTATTGTTAAGATTGTTGAAATTTTTACGTCATTGAATAAGTTACATTTAATATTTTATGTGGTGAATAAATAGTTTAAATATTCAATTGCAAAAGCAGGTAAAGTGGCAATACTTTCCTAGACGAACTTTTTTACAATCATCTCAACTGAGTACAATCCCTGGTTAAGCCTTGTACTCTCGTACTTCTCGTTATTGGTTGGTACTGCGGTACAGTCAATGAGAAAATGTATTTGAGGGTTGTACTGCATTTTATTCAGTTTATTACTTAAGACTGATTTTTTTTACATTTGATTTGTAACATGTCAATATTAATGACCTGTCACTAAAAAAATTCATTGTATTGCGATAATTATAACATTAAAGTTTATTATTATTAATGCTCTACATTGTAATATTTATTTATTTAATTACTTTTGTTACAGAAACCGTTCGTGTGTGCACCCAATGCCATTATTACCCAGGGATTGTAAGAAAAGGCGTCTTCCAAACAAGGTAAAAGTTAGATTGTAACTTAATACGTCGTCAGGGGTTCTTGTTCTTGCTCCCTAGGCTCTTGTTTCTCAAAAATATTAATATAATAACTTTTTTTTTATAATATCAAGACTAAGTGTTGGGACGAACATGTCGTATGCCTGATGGTAAGCTACACGCCTGTCCATAACAGTTGCAGTGCCGCGCAGAGCTTTAAATTGCAAAGATCTGAGAGGCACTGCCGCTGCGCCCTTCACCTTGAGACATAAGTTGACAAGTCCCATGTGTCTGTAGTTTTACCAGATCACCCTTCAAAACAGGAACGCAGTAAAGTTCACATTAGTGCTTAGAGGCAGAAATGCAAATGGGCGCTCTACAGCTGCTAAAACGTACTTTATGATAGTTACGAAATTTTTAATGATTAAAAAAAATTAAGAAGAACTAAAATTGTTCAATGAATCAAAAATTAAAAAAGAACCTTGTGTAGTCTGGTGCTCGATGTCTGGTTGGCTGGTTTTATATATTTTTCGTTGACGCGCCATTGTTACGTGTGTTCTGTTTTGTGAAAGCGGGACACTTTTAAGTATTTTGGTCCAAAAAGTGGGATGTCCCGCTCAAAGCGGGACGTATGGTCACGTTATGTATGAGCAAAGATGGGGTAAGAGGAATAATAATCTTATTTCCAAAAACGGTAATGTATATCTCGTGATCTCATTTTTATTAATATAATAATAATATATCAAAATAATAATTGTCAGTTTTATTTTTTCCGCCTTTTGCATTTGAAGCATCGTAGCGACATCTCTTAAAAATCGCTTAAACTAATTTGTCTGTTTTATCGACTGTGAGCCTATAGTGTTAAACTCTTTAGATTATGATTTAAGGCTTCAAGTCCTTCTTTCCCTGGTGTTCCTTTCATCCCACCTGACCTTATAGAACACGGCAAAGAGTAATTCTCGTGTCACATAGTATTCTAAGGAAGTATGCGGTTCCACAACCGCCACGGATAGCAAATAGTCTTTGCAAGCATTCCAGCACGTATATCTTTATCACCATGCATGTATCACCTGGCAATATTATTATTTTGTACAATTCCAGAATAGAGTGGTGCAATAAAACACCTACGCTGTGTTTATCAATTAGGAACAATGGCCATTTCTCTGGATACGCATAATTTTAGCGTACAACGGCGGACAAACCGTGAATATAATAAAACCACAGGGGTGCAGATAGGGTTGGCATAATGAATTTCTAAAATCACCTCCATGCCGTATTAAAACCTAAACTCATACCTCCATGAATGTGGAATTTTAAGAAGGCGGAAAAAACAGAACTATAAGAATTAATTATAGGATTATACCTTTAATTCATGACTGAAAAAAGGTCTAGAAATTATATCTTAAGTTCGTATTGCCCGATATTGCGTTTGAAGAGCACAAAAGAGATTTCGTCCAAAAACGGAGTTACGTGATTTCCAAATTTAGTCGACGGCGACGTACTAAAACATGCATTTCTAATATGACAAAATTGTTAAGAAGAAAATAGATTATTTTTTGATTTATTCAGAAAATGCTAAATTTTTTTGTGATTGAAGTTTTTCATTGGTTTGGAATAATCATATGACAACATTGGCATTGTCTACGATTCTCCGGCAGACGGTTTGCAGCTTTGTTAAGACATCTTTTTGATGATATATATTCTAGAAAGCCATCGAAATGGCTTGATTTGTGTAAAGGTTGCAAGATAAAATGCTTGGACGTACAAATTCAGATATTGAAATAGATGCTGACTTTGCCAACCCTAGGTACACCTGTTGATTGTCATCGCTATGCATCGCGAAAACAATTTTACGTTTGCAGTCTCTGTCACAAAATTCGCCAATGAATATTATAAAACAAATTTTTATACAGCCGCAAGTGAAATTTGTTAAATCTTTTTTAAAAAACGAACACATATGTGCCCCAAAGACAATATAGAACGAGCGACCGTGTTCCTTGTCTATGGTTAAAGATTTATGTGCGTACGCGCAGCTGTAATTTAGCATTTTTTGTGTTATTTGTTTTTGCTGTAAGTTTTTAAGAGACATGTTTATTTTTCTTGATTTATTGTCCGGTAGGTAGAGGACAGGTAATATAGGTATAAAGAGAGCAAAATAGAAAAAACTTACTGTCTCTCGTTTTATATTTAATGTTCATACATTTTCTTAAACTAAGCAATAGTGTGTAATAAACAGATATCGGTACAGGGTAAGTATATTTACACTGTAGGTGCTGGATAAGGGGTCCTGGGTTCGATTCCCGGTAGGATCAATTTGGGGAAATATACGTTTCTATACTGGTTCTGGCTCTATACTCTCGTTCTCCGTCCGAAGCAATTATTGTGAAATAAGTAACACTCAAAAAAATTTAAAAACGCATTATGTAAATGAAGCTTCATACTTGACTTCATGTTTTTTAATTTGGTCGAGTATTAATTATTTGACAGTTATTGTTTCGGACGGACGTCAGCCGGAGAAGTGGAATAGTATAGAATAGACTTTATTGCAACTCCACAACACGGATACAAAAAAAATGATAACACAAACAAGGAAAACAAAATTAAAGAAATAATATTTAATTAACAAACAAAATAAAAAATACTATAATAAAAACAACATTAAATAAGACAAATATGACAAAAAACAAATTATAATGCTTTCGTTTTGGGCTTCCGATCCCATAGACAATAACGGACCGATAACGTGAATGTAAAATGTGATCATGGTGAAATAGGTTCTTTTACATGCTTATACAAAGATTTTACTGAACAAATGGCGGATTTCTTTAGTGTTGTACCATAATCTATCCAAAAACCATTATTGACTTGCAAACTTTTAATTAAAGTCGACCAATATTCCATTTGGGAATATTTTACTTCTTTTGGGAATATCCGGGAATGTCATGTGAGACTTTATTTTGCATTTATAAATGCTCAAATATTACAAAAAGTGAATTTCATAGTAAGAAATTATTAAAACGAAGGACGTATGCAGCTACGTGTATCGGACTTTACTTTTGGGAGTAGACGCTCTGAGCGAGATGTGTGACGGACGTGTGTGTCGAATAAACAACTTAAATATTTGTGTATGTGTTCTTTGTACTTTGTGTTACTGCTGTATGTTATATTAGAGATCGTAAAAATACATAAATATAGAAAAAAATTAAAGTTGCGACGAAAGATAAAGTATAGTGTAGTATAGACCCCCTGGTCTTGGTACTGGTCTTGGTACTTGGTCTGGTACTGTTAGTAAAGGGAAACTCAAGTTTGAGACAGACCGGTTGTCGTTGTCTGGCAAAAAAATAGATTGGATAATGGATAATAATAATAATATAATAGTCATGTAAGAAGATTTATCTTTAAATAACTTAGAGAAAACTCATGAAATAAGAATTTTCGACCGCCATTATTGGTATATTTTTTGTAATACATTATTATTTACTGTACAATGATACAAATAATATCAAAAAATCACTGGAATTTTTTTTTTCCATTTAATTTCGTAATAGCACACAGTACTTGCAGCTGTGGTAGCCTATCTCTTATCGAGAGTTGTGGATTCGAATCTGGGCTTGCACCTCTGTCTGAGTTTTTAGGAATTTATGTGCAAAATTTGATTTGAAATTTACCATGAGCTTTTCGGTGAAGGAAAACATCGGCACAATCGGCAATAAGTCCGCGTGGGAATTACAAACCAAACCCTATTGTTAATGGTCTGCTAGGTGACCAAACAGCTCTCAGATGAAACCATTGCTTCTCTATTCTACTCTATAATATATATTATTTAACTGCTTCCGTGGCTGAACGGTTACCATGCCGTACTCCCATGCAGAGGTGACAGGTTCGATCCCCGGGCCGCAAATGTTTGTATGGCCTACATTTATTTCTCTCGTGAGTTTGGGTGTAATTTGTGGTTGTCTGTGTATGTGGCCATGGCAGCCGCGACACTGCACACACACAGCAGTTTTAGAATATTGAAATTATTTAATGATATTTCAGCTACGCATCGTTAAGTTCCGATAAGTCGAATACGTTAACCAATTCTAACTGTTTTTAAAAGAGAAATTTGTGCTTTATTTCTTTCTATTTAAAATGGATATTTGACAATTTGTCACATGACCGCGTTTTAGTTAGTGGACGACAGACTAACTGCCTTAATTTAGTCTTAGAATTAATTTGTCATTATTTACAGGACAATATATCGCACCCTTAGTAATATAAGGGCACAATCCAAAAAAAGTAGATTTTTGGGAAATTTGGGAATTGATAGGGACTTAAATAATAAATGGGATCAAACTTAAATAGCTCCATATTTCTGTTATATTTTTTGTACCATATGGGTCTAACTTGAAAGTGTTTTTTTAACTTGCTTGAAACTTATGGAATTTACTTATATTATTATTATTTTTTTATTGCTATTTATAATACATTTATCAAAGAACAAATCTGCCAAATTTCATATTTATAACTTAAATAATAAGCATGTTATTTGAAAAAATAGGTGTAATGTAGGAATCCAGAATATTAATACGCGATTTCCCAAAAATCTACTTTTTTTGGATTGTGCCCTTATATTACTAAGGGTGCGATATAGAGACTATTACAACTTCCTTTAAATAACAGCTACCTTTAAAATGTATCATGAGCTTTTCGGGGAAAAAAAAATCTCGTGAAGAAACTTGCATGCATCTGCAAAGCAATTTAATGATTTATGAAGTTCCTAATCCGGTCCCAATCCATTGTGAAAGGCGGCCTGAGCTCAGAAGTGGCTATAGGTACATGGTTATTTTTAAAATACGAACAGCAGGACTATTACTAACAACAACAACAACGCACACACTCAACATAACAACGGCCCCGCACTAGGAAAACCCTGTGTCGCGGGTGCCATGGACACACACATAGACAACCACAAATTACACCCAAACTCACGAGAGAAATAAATGTAGGTCATACAAATATATCTCCCGGCCCCGGAATCGAAC